GATGGAGATAGAGCAAGTTAGCACAAATGTAATCACAAGGGAATAGAGATATACCTCCATATCGGTTTTGGCTCGGCTTTATTTTGTATGTTGTATATGGTGGTTCTTCTTTGATTAGTATGAGACAACTGACGCCTTGGGGCTTCTTTTGGTCCTTAATAGGTGGCTTGACCCGTTGATCTCGTTCTCCAATTCTAGTTTTAGCCGTGTGCTTCAAAGCTGCTCTAAAATATGTGCTTGACACTCCTAGGCGCTTGTAGTTTTGTTTGAGCATAACTAATGCATCTGGTGGTTCATCTTTGAACATTAAAGAAATTGTGAATGCTTTGCAATGCTTGTGGTCTGTTGGGTTGAGTTGTGAGGGTCCAGAATCTCCTTGGTCTTGTTTCTGGTCAGAATTTGAGTTTTTTGTTTCTCCATAGGTCCACTGTTTATCTTTAGTACCTAAACCTATTCCAGCATGTTTTGAACAAGACAAGTGCATTATTCTTATCAAGAAAATTTTAAGAACAAGATAAGTATGGCTAGGATTTATCTGTTTTTCAATAGTTGTTTGAGCAATGATCTTCTCATATTTTTCTTGTACTTGCTTCCCATCAGAAGCTAAGATCACCATTGTTGGTATTTCCTCTTTTCGGACAGTTTGTTCTCCTTTTGTTTCTACACCTAATTCAGCAACTCTTGGACTAGACAAGTGTATTAATCCTATCATGGAGTTAATAAGAACATGCTGGTCTAGAGTAAGATTTACCTTAGAGATTGTTGTTTGAACAATTCCTTGTACTAGTTTTGGTTTCCACTTGTAATTTGGCTCTGGATTGAACTCGTGGTCTGGTTCTTCCCTTGATACACTCATGATGCACAAGTTATGCTCCTTATATTCAGGAAGCATAGGATTCAAGTTTGTTCTTCCTTGTTCAGTGTGGCTCATATTAGAATGGATGTGTGTTTCTTGTTTCAGTTCCTTAAGAACCATGAATTGCATTGTGTCTTGAGCTTGCTCCTGGTCCTTTGCAAGGTTATTTCTGGTGGTTCTTCTCCTATGGATGTATGCTCCTTAGTAAGACATGTTTCAACACCTTTTGACAGAGATAAGTGCATCATACTAGTGATGGATAAATTAGGGACTAGTTTGTCTAAAGCATAACTTATCTTAGCCTTTGTTTGAACAATTGTTTGTTCTGGTTTTTCTTTTGGCTTGCACAATGCTCCTTGGTAGAGAACATTCTTTTTCTCCATGGCCTTTGAAATATTATTCTTCTGGTCAGGTGTGGGCTTCTTCTTTGGCTGAAGGTTTGCTTGTGGGGCACGTTTATCAACTTTGCGGATGACAAAACTTCGCGGGTATAGTTTCCCTGATGTTTGCCACGACGTT